TGCGATTTTCGCGATTCGTGCGATTTTCGCGATTGGTGCGATATTCGCGATTTGCGCGACGGGCCACTGAAATTACAAGTGCCCCATTTATACTGCGAGGTGTTCTCCAATCCCGCCGTCACTTCTGCTTGATGGTTATGGTTTAATGGAGACTGCTCATGATTCCACTTGTTTCATATCCAGTGTTTCAATTGTTCAAATGGGGCACTTGCAATTTTTGTGATTGGTTTGGTTTGATTCCTGAAAAAAATAGGAACGATTCAAGAGCATTTCAATGAACTAATAGACATTGAACATGAAACAAGTAGAACCACAAACATTCGTCTTCCAATCTTTACTGCCAAGCAGAATTCGCAGCAGGATTAAACAACACCTCGCAGTATTTCATCGGGCACTTCCAACCCAACTCTGTAGATCATTTGCACGTTGCGCAAATCGCGAAACATCGCGCTCATACGGTGAAAATCGCAGAAGTCGAATCGCGACTTCTGACACAAGCCCTTACGAACCAGCGTTTTGATGTCGTTTTCACTGGTTTCAAAGGGCTGCCAGTAGCTTTGTCGATTGCATTTCCCCTCGATCTACCTAGAACATGGTCATCGCTGGCTGCTCCTCTGCCTTCATTAGTTCCTATCGATTTCAGATTGTTCGAGAAATGACAAGAGACATAAAACAACTTGATATTGCCAAGAGTCAAATTTCAACGTACCATACTATCACCACCAACGCCTACATCACTGCACATCCCTACTAAACGGTGTTGCATTCATTAGATCATTACCTCTACAGAATTGATGTTTTTTTTTCTCTCCACAATTTCTAATAATCTCCTTTCTCTCTTGTCGTTCACTCGGTCGAGTTTTTGTTGGCTATTCAAAGTTACTTTGCTAGCGCGTGGTACATGTTAAGCCCTCCCATTGATTAACTGTCCAAATGTTTCCACGATGTGATGATTGTTGCTACAGGTCTGGTTCGTCTGCAGAGGTTCCGTCACGGGAGTGCTCGACCCACGCTGTGCCCTTTTCGTCGTCGGCTGATATGTTCCTTCTGCTCAAGAAGGTGATCACTGAGTGCAGTAAACTTAGCAGTGAGCCGGATGCGTTGTTGAAGTGGGTTTGATCTTTTTCTCTCAACATCTTATTTTGTCCATTCAGCATTTTTTTAGTTCTATGAACTTTTTGATAGGTGACCTGTTAGTTTTTGGCGTTGATCAATCGTTTTTGGAATGCGCTAAGTACGCCCTTTCCATATAAGTCGTAGTGATACCAGAAGGTTATTGAATCCCACAGTATTGCTTGAGTGGGTCCGCTGAGAAGCGCCAGTGTTTTGTTTTCCTGGATGAGCTGAGTGGGTCAGCCATTCCGGACGAAAGAAAAGCTTTTTTCCTTTGGCTAGATTAGGTCTTGATTTGACTGCTAGACTACTGATACATAGGTGACGCTATCTGCCGCTGCTCTACCACTGCAATCCCTAAACATCAGAATTTTTGTGTCACTCATTTGGTCTAGCCCTTGTTTTAGGGATGTGGTTGGTGTCGTGCGGGTTTGTCTGCGTAATTACGCGCACGGTTGTCTGACAGCATTTTTGCCCACCGCCCATGGCCAGCAAAGTGGAAGCAGTACAGCGAATCTGTTCAATCTTATTCGTGAGGATACGACAGTGTTGAGGTAAGTACTGAACTTTGAAAACACCGTCGGTTCATCTGCTGAAAGATTTCTGATTTGTTTTTGGTTACAGATTGAGTGCTGATCAACAGTTTCTCACTTGCTGTATACTGGCCACAGCGGATTGGTGTGCCGAGACGACTTTGCAGTTGCAGGAGAAACTTGCTCAACGACTAGCGGTAGGCCTTCCACAAATGTAATGTATTTATTAAGTTTCTTAGTTGTTCAGTGGGCTATTCATGAGATCAGTGTCTATATAACGATGATGCATATACAGTTTAAGGGTGCGTATGCAAACAAGGGTTGTTGGTCATGAAGGTTAATCATGCATATTTTATAGGGAGTTGACTTGAGTCAAGAGATGGAGACCTTCTATGGAATCACCAACCAGGCACTTGCTGTTCTGGTTCAAGATCTTGAGGGCACCTGTGATGCAGCACTCCAGGCCATCTCCAAGATTACGTATGCCGTTTGCATGTTCCTTCTCTTCAAATGGATTCTTTTCCTTAATCCACATCTTCTATCAGGTGGTCAGCAGTAGATGGCGTTGGCGATGAGTCTCCATTTGTGGGTGCTATTCGATCGCACCTTCGCGCTGCTATACCTCGACTTCGTGATTTGCTATCTGACAGAAGGAAGTATTTTGCTCATCTATGCCTGAAGTTGGCCACGCAGTTGTCTCACAAATTTGTCGGAGCACTGTTCAGATGTAAACCGATTAGCACTCACGGTAAGTATAACTCGAGTCCTCCACTCCCTCTGGGAGGGTTAGGAGATTTCCCATGGATAAAAGATTGAATTTTTCGTGTCGTATTAAGGCTAATCTCTCTGATCGGCGAGTAAGGGTGCCGTTAGGTGAATCAGTCGCAAATATTTGCAAACCATGTATCTACATTTAGGAGCCGAGCAGTTACTTCTTGACACTCACTCTCTGAAGTCATTCCTCCTTCAAATGCCTTCGATTGACAGCGCAGTGGCTGCGAAGCCACCAACAGCGTATGTTGGAGGAGTGAGCGCTGCGTTAAATAAGGCGGAAATGATCTTGAAGGTGAATAACTCAATCTCGTTTACTTCCATTTCCGTCTTTTGAAATGAATTCGCAAAGGGTTGCTTGAAGGTGGTGATGTCGAATATGGATACGCCTGAGGATTACGTAGAACACTATTCAACATTGCTGCCTGACTCGAATACTTCAGAATTGCAAAAGGTTTGGTAAAGACTTTGACTTCTCGATCTTCTCATTATTTGAATTCCTAGTTCAATTGGAGTCATAGTTCTCTTTTTTTTGCAAAAATGCGGGTTCTCTTTTTTTGCAAAAAATGCAAAAACTTGAAACCATGGTCTTTTTATGGACCGTCATTTCAAACCGCAACTCAAACATAGTGGCAGGGTATCGTGTGTAGGAATAGAAAATCTCTATAGGTTCTGGATATGCGTGGTGTGAAGAAAGTGGAGCAAACAGCGATCTTACAAGCGTACAGGTAGGCTGTTCACTAGTTGGCCCTATTTTTGTTCAACTTGTACAGATTTCCTATAAAATTACATCTTTTTGAAGGCAGAAGTTTGGAGCTGCAGCTGATGCCGCACCTTCGGTTCCTGTTGGAATGGGAAATGCACTGTCGGCGACACAGGCTCTGAATGCTGTTGTATCGATGGCAGCTGACGGATTGGCTGAGACGACTAGCATGAGAAGGCTCGAAAAGCTTGTTAAGAGGAATTTCTAGAAAAAGCCCCCCCGCGCGGCCCCCCCCCCCCCCCCCCAGCCGGTTGGCGGGTTGTAGTTCCCCGGCTTTAGAGCGCATCACGGATAATTCTAAGGCTGTAATTTTCATTATAAGGATTAGCAGGCGTACGCAGAAGCGAGGGTTTGTTATCGCATAAGGGTTGCTGCCATCTTTAAATAACAACGTTGCTGTTGCTTTCCTTAAAGTTCCCGACTGCCAAGGGTTATCTCGGCATCCAATACGTTGTGCATTTGAGACAGAGAGAAGGAGGTAGGAATTGCCTTGATTGTAGGTACAAAGGAGTTATCGAGCAGTACATTGGAGGCTTTGAAACGGATTAGTTCCTGTAAAAGTGCTTCTAATTATGCCTTCGCTGCTGCAGTTCTAGTCTGTGGAGAGCAAGGGTCGTATTACTGATAGTCCAAGTTGTGTTGGAATCGGAGGGAAAACCAATTAGACTATATTTTTTCAACAAATTTACAGTGTCTCATGTGTGTGAATATGTTTTATACGGGTTGCTAATTAATTTATTTGTTCTTTGTTGGGATCGCAGGCAATATTTTTGTTATGGCTTCTTCTTTCAATAAATATTTCAATCAGGTTTTTCCCAGAAACTTTCGGTCACGACCGCATGGTTATGTGAGGCTAGACAACGTGAGATTTTGAATGCAAACGGGAACAATTTATCTTGAATTTTTGTCTTTTAAATCTCTTTTTTTGATTTGTTTTGTTGCGACAATTTATATTACTAATATATTCCCTCGATGAGGGGGGTAGGGAGGCTTGAAGTGTTATTGCAATTCACACCCCTACAGTGATTCAAATTTTCACAGGGGAGGATGTTCGGTGGGGGGGTTGCAATCGGAAAACGGTTCACGAACTCCGAAGATTACCCCTCATTGCAGAAATGGAGTAAGTGGTACGTATCGTATCACATGCCCCCTCCCTCCTTATTGGGTAAGACTTTTGAAAACCCGCCCCGCGGGGATGGAAATCGACTTTTCCGTTTTTCGTAGCGCGAAACCTTTCGCTGCGGAATCCCCAGGTCCACCACTAATAAAGAGTGAACCGGATTCTTGCTGGGAAAAAAGTTTCGCGTGCGGAATAGGGAAATTCACTTCCTGTCCTAGTGAACCACACCCCTTCCACGTGATTGATTTTAACATCGACTTTAGGGGTTAGCCTAATATTCTATACCGATTTATCGAAATAAAAATGGTAGCTGAAGTAATGCCGCTTGCTCAATAACAAAATAGGGGCCGTTCTCCGCATTTTACACAATAAAATACCAATCCTACGATCGTGTGTTAGCGGTTACGGTTACCCTGGCATATCGCCGTTGAACAACTGATGATCAATTCCTTGGCCAATCTTCTTCTTCTCCCTAGCGTTAGTCCCGCACGTCGCAGGATCCGTTGAACTCCTGAGCCAATCAACTCCGTGGATTATGTATGCTATGCATCTCTGTTGGGAGCGGCTAGCGCGACG